TCTCTGTGCTTTCTCTGTGTTTTAACTTGTTTTGGTTTGAAGTTGTCTCTGCTCTAAATTGTCTTTCAAGTTTTTCTTCTTGATCAACTAGAGCTTTTATTTGTTCAACTTTAGCAACTTTCAGGAGCGATTTGGAGCCTCTGGGCTCTAATTATCTTTAAAGCTACTTAGTTTTCTCTCCAAAGCCTGAATACGTTAAGCTATGTCATTGAAAGATTCTTTATGCAAGTTTTCTTTATGACATTCTTCTCTTCTGTTCTCTGTATGAGTTTTGTTTCACTTTTCTGTTTTTCTAAATGCTTAGTTTTCTAGTTTGTTTTCCTTCTCTGAGGTTTTCTTTTTAATTTTGTAAGGTAAGGTTTACTTGTCAGAGAATACTTCATGTCTTTTAGAGCTTCTTGCACTTGGTTTATTGTTATAAGGTTCTTGTTTATATCTTTCCTTATTAAAGTTCTCTTCTATTGATTCTGCTTCAGGTATCTCTCAAAAAAGCCTAGTATCGTAATATTTAACAAAATACTTTTGTGCTTAAACTATTTCTCTTTGATTTCTGAAAGATACTAGTACGTAGTCTTTGTTATTTCTATTCGAGTTCTTAAAAACATGTACTGCACTTGTACCAGTATATTTTAGTTGCCTGAATAGTAATACCTCATTTATATTTTGTGGTATATTATATAACCTTGTAATGAACTGCTTTCTATTTTTAAGTATCTCTTTTCTGTTTGACCCTAGGGTTATGTGTACTAAAAGCTTATTTGTAAGAGGGATGACCCAAGCTTCAATTCCTTGTACAAAGCTACTACCTTTTTCAAAAGATAATTCTGCTCCTATTTTTTCATATTTTTCTCTTATCATTTCAATATTTTTGATACGACCCAAGTGTTTAATCGCAAAGAAGATTTGTGATCTTGTTATATAATAGGATATATTCCATATAGTGATAGTCTCTTCTTTGCTTAGATATAGTTCTCTTTCCTTAGTTATATTGTTTGTTTTATCAAAGACTTTATTGCTAGTTAGGAGAGTTTCTTGCTCGTATATTCTTTTTTTCCCTTTGTCTTTTGTGACTGATACTTTTTCTTCTTCTGTTTGGTTGAGTGCTATCTCTATTCTCTTTTTGCTTGCACTACTTGTTGAGCACTCCTCTCTTTCAGTTTGGTTATACAAAGTGGATCTTTTCTTTTGTATTTTTGCAAGTTCTTTCTTTGCTTGCGTTTCTCTTTCCCTTTTTTCTTTTACTTTGCTTTGTATAGCTTTTTTTTTCGAGTTCTCTTTTTCGACCTTTTCCTCAAGTATTAGATTTATCTGGTCGAACTCATCCTTCTTTTTTTCCAGTCTTGACTTAGCTTCTTCGTAACCTTTTTTATAGTCGAAGTAAATAATATACCATTAGTTTCTATTTACAAATTTTTTTTGAATCACTCTAATATGCTTGTTTCCTCTTAGAGACCATCTTATTGATTTTTCTCTTTGTTCTGCATTGTCTTCAAGAATCTTAACTGCTGCTACCTTAGCTTTGACCTCTCCTTTGTTTCTATACACTTCTGAGTTAGATACCCATAAACTGCAATCTAGAGATATACTGCTATGTTTTGCTTTTCCTATCTTCACTAGTTGCTCTAATCTGTTTTCTATTTCAATTTTAAATAGGTATATTTCTATGCTATTTTTTACTAGTTAGATGTCTTCCATACTTTCTGGTACTTTGGTTCTTTCTGCTACCCTTTTGTTGCTATTTACCTCTTCTTGGTATTGAATAATCTGTCTAATATTTTCATGTGATTCTATTTCTTTACCTCTATCTGCTTCTGTAATTAGTATCTCTTCAGTTCCTATTTCTACTTCCTATATTGTTTCATTTAGTTTTCTTAGTTACATACTTGCTGATTTTTGCTCTCTTCCTAGAACTTCTTTAATTTTGTCTATTCCTTCTATAAAAGTAGCTCTTTCTAGTACAACACACTACTGTCTTGCTAGAGTAATAATATTTTTATTAACATTTATTGCCTTTGCAACTATTCTGTCTAAATGGTCTGCTAGTCCTAATACTGATACACTATCTTCTTGAATGATTTTTTTATCATACTCTTTGATTATTTTCTTAATGAAATACTTAGAGCTTTCTGTATTCTACATATTATTCTGTTTCAGAAGAATCTATTAATATTGAAGAACAAGAAGATTTTTTAAGAATTAAATATAAGAAACTTGCAATTCAGAAAGTAAGAATGATGAATTAAAAAGAGAAATAATATTATGAAAAAAACTTTAAAAGCTTTAAAATAATTAAATTTTTATTGATATATTATAATAGAATTTAACTTTAAATAACTAGTGATGATCATCACTAGTATATAATTAGCTAATAATGATAAAACAATAAAAAGATTTTATTTTATTAACTTTAAAGTTAGAGTAAAGCCTAGAATTTTAATAAGATATTATATATATGCAAATTTTAGCAAGAAATTTTTTTGTTAGAATATCAAAAGTGGTTTTATAAATGAATTTTTAAGATATTAATATTTTTTTAAAAATTTCTTTATTTTTGTTTTATAATATGTTATATCTAATTCTGCAAATTTATTAGCTAATTATATACTAGTAATTAGGACTATTACATTATACAAAATAAAAAACTAAATTATATAATACAATTAGTTCAAAGTATATGTCTAATGCAAATCACTCCTGAAATTATACAAAATAATTAATTTTTTTTAAAACAACTAATAAATTTTATTTATTTAAAAAATTTAGCATACTGATACTATGTAATAGAATTTTTAGACAAATTTTATCTGTTATCTGATATAATTCTATTATATACAGAAAAACTATATACGCTCTATATCAATACCTGAAATTGGTAATCAAATATAAATTAATGCTAATTTAGATAAATTTAGCAATAATTACTTAAATCAAAATTATCTTTAAATAAAAACTACAGTAAATTCTCTATTCTGTAATTAACTCTTATATATAGAGTTTTTAAATTTATTATGATTTCACATGCTTTACAGAACAGTTTTCTGCTATTAGTATAAAAATCAGAATTTTTAATAAAATATTTTGTAGCATTTATTATTGTATTTGAAAAAATTCAACATAATAGAAAAAAAAATTTTTAATATAATTTTTTTTTCATGAAAAAAAAATTTTGCTGATTTGATTTTTTTTTTTTCTTTACAAAATTTTTATATCATCTATAAAAAAAGATGGATAATGATTTATAATACTTTACAAAAAGGTATAACCCTGTGATAATATAGGAAAACTTCTGTGATTCTAAATTTTCTATTTATCAAATATTTTAAAATTCAGAAAATCATCTAATTTTCCATGATTTTCACATAACATCATGATTTGCAAGGTCACACCTTTTTGCAACACGCAAAAAATTGACCAATCATAAGGCGCCAATTGTGATTATGCGATTTTTGGTCAAATTATGTATCGTATATGCATTGCATCGCATAAAACTAAGGTCCCTAACCGGTGATGATTACCGCTGGTTATAGTTATCAATATTCATTATAATATATATTTGAAAATAGAATAGCACAATAATTATACTGTAACAATATATATTTCGCTAGTGCAAATATATTACAATAAAATATTGGTAATATAACATTATCATTATTGCTTTTAATATGAATTGTAAATGACGCGTATCTAAATTATTACATATTTGACATGAAATTTTATAATTTATCATTATTACCTGCGTAATAAATTAATATTCACATAATAATAGCTTGAATTGTATGGTTTTAAATTGATTTTAGCACTACGTAATGACATTATTTTAACAAAGTTCAATGTATTGTACTGTATTATCTCTTATATTTATTTAATCAAATACAGTACAGTACACATTTATATTTTACATAATAAAAAGGTGTACCGTACGGCTATATAGTATAATACACCTAAATTTATGTACAGTATAGTACATTCAACAACAAAATACAATACGAAATTTCTACAGTCCGAATCAAAAATAAGTTGATATATCTACCCAAAATAAGATTGAACTTTAAAAATAAATTTCGCTTCGTTTTATTCTTCAATGTTTCGTAATTTGATTGGGTGATAAGCATATCGATATGATATTATCTTTAATCTAAATTTTCGGTGTAAAATTGTAGCGCTAGTATTTATTCATTTATTTATTCTGTATTTAAATTGCGTAATATTTTATCTCACGCTGTTCCTTACTTTATTTGTAATATGCTTCATACTAATACGGTATGATAATAGTAATTATCGATGAAAAATTTTTTTTAAGGACCCAGTACTTTTTATTAATATGTTTCGTTACACATGAAATTACACAAATAAATGAGCAAAATGATTGGTGAATTAAAATAGTTAACCAATCAATTTGCGAATTTTATTGTGTAACTTAACACGCATTGTAAAGTGACAATATAAAAATTATACGTAAAAATCAGTTTTCTATTTACAATTTACGAGCACTTGAAAAATATCATGTGCTAATCAACCCATATATAAAATGACTCATAGTATTATTTAGAAAGTATGAAGATAACGATAAAGAATATTATAAGAATTATATAAGTCAATTTAATTCCGAACAATACTGGAAAATTATTCGTGATTTTATCTTTTTGTAAAATCACTAGAATTATATTTCAGTTTTATCATAATTAAATGAGTAACAAAAGCTTCGAGTTTAACTAAATAATGATCCATTAACCATATTGGATATATGCATTGATCTGAGTTTTTTTTCGCTTGATATTACGCATTTAGATTGTTGAAAAGATTGGCTGATGTGAAAAGTGATCAAATAGATTTTCTTTAGGTAGGAACACTAAACATTTAGAAAAAAAAAAAAAAAAAAAATTCTATTACAGATCTTTTTTTACAAAGTGGTATTATTTGTCAATTAAACCTTTCTGGAGGGACGCAATCTCTGAACATAATAATATTCTTATATTTAAAAGTGATTTAATTCAGTTATAATGGCATTATCATTACCAAATGAATCCTTGCAAGAAATATTTTCATATATACAATATGATAAAAAGGCCTTGCATAGCTGTCTTTTTATAAATAGAAATTGGTGTTGCAATATAATACCTTTTTTATGGAAGCAACCATTTCATTTTTGGAAAGATAATGATGAACCATCTCCAAAGCTCACTCGAGTATATTTGCAATTCCTCTCCAACCAATCAAGAGAACGACTTTCCACAAAACCTCTTTTGGTATTACCAAGAGCATCAAAACAACCTATATTTCATTATCCCACCTATTTACAAAATCTAGATACAGAAAAATTATATCAAGCAAGTCGAAGATGGCTTGAAAATATTGAGCACTTATTAGGAGACTTGGATTACAAGGAATATTCTCGTGCATTGGCTCATGAACTTGGAATTTTATTTATGGAACAATGCAAAAAAATTATTCGACTTGAAATACATCATGAATTAGTAATTGTAGATTATGATACGGATAAATATTGGTCAGAAGAACGTTATGCGTTATTAAATGATAGTACATATACATCACTTCCACTTTTCTTTGGAGCGAGAAACTGTTTACGTGATCTTCGTGAATTTGAGTGTCATCGACAAAAAAAAGCCGGGATTTTGATAAAAATGGCAGAATATTGTCATCAGATTGAAAAATTAGAAGTCTCTATGTACAATAGTGATGATTTAGCATGTGACGTTGAAGCAGAAGCTATAGGTTTAACATATATTATACAAGCACAACAAGGATTAAAGAAATTTATTCTCAGTGGCAACAAATACGAATGGCCAAATGTTACCGAATCATTTAGTAGTCAATCCAAGACACTTACTTGTGTTGATTTTTGTGATCTAGATTTTGATCCAATATGTGATCCTTTATTGAAATCTATTTCTTTGTTAAACAACTTGGAGAAATTAGCGTTTCGTTATTGTTCACCATTCACTGAACAAAACATGACATCATTATGTGAAGCACATTTTCCAAACTTGAAAAATCTGCGGTTTTTTTGTAGTCACCCACATTTAGAATCCTTAGTAAAATTAATAAATAATGTCAGAAATACAATGATATATCTGGCTATCGCACCAGAAACATCAGAGAATTTTGGTAATTATATATTCTATATTTATTAGATAAACTTATAATTAATTAATAAAAAATTAAATAATTATACATTCGTTTTAGTTGAACATGTGAATACTTTAATGCATATTCCACTCGTGAAAGCATGTTCAAGGATAAGAGTATTAGAATTATCACGATATTTTTCACCCGAATCTCTTGAATACTTTCTTAAAAATTCTCAAGCACCGATTGAAGTTTTACATTTAGGGAGATGTTGGAAATTAAATACAAATCATCTTGATGTAGTTTCGAAATATGCAGAATCATCAAAACTTAAATTGGTAAACTTGCGATATATATCAAAGAAATTTCCACTTAAGAAAATTAAACATCTCCAAAGTCTCATAGAAGAGGTAATTACAGAAGATTCGCCGTTGAAAGAAAAAAGGTTATTGTAATTAATGTTTGATGGAATGAGTGGTAGGTGGGTCAAATAGTCAAGAATAATATTATAATTTGTTTCGCTAAATTTAGTTATACCTTTTTTACCTGTTACTGTAAAGAATTGTATATTTTTCTGATAAAATAAACATGAATCATTTTCGGTTATTCAGTATACTTTAAAATTTTGGTTTGTTAATGTTTAATAAATATTAAAATAAAATAGTTGTACTTATTTCCTTTACTTTTTATTTTCAAAAGGAAAAGGAAAGATTCTTGACAAAATAATAAAAAAATTATATTTAACAAATAATACGTATAGAAAATAAGGATTTCCAAAAAAAAAAAAAACCAAAACTCATAAATTTTTTGCATCTCTCCAAGCTTTTTTTAAAACATCGATACCCGTGACATCTTCCACAGAAAATCCCTTTCGACACATTTGATTTTCCACTTTAATAACACCGATTTTACTTTTAGGATTAAAATGGCGACTAAAGTCTAAAGCGAACCAAATATTTGAACATGGCATCCCCCACTATTGTTCAAATATATACATATATATATATATGATATTAACTAAAATGGTAACAAGAAAGTTTCTTAAATCCATCAGTCTTTTTAAATACTTACACTCTTTAACGAAAAAAATCCAAGGTTTAACTCTTCGGCTGTATCAACTGAAACGATTTTTATTAATGGAATAACAAACGAAGTAGCAAATGGAAAATAATAATTTTTAATGGTTAAATTTTTTGTTGTGATTATGATAAATTTGTCAGAATAAAGAATGGGTTCTGTCATTTTGGTTTTTTTTTTTTTAATAAAAAAAATTTAAAAATTATAAGTTTGAAAATTTTACCTTGAAATAAAAAATAATGTGGTTTATTTATTCGTTATTGGGATCATGCGATGTTTCACCAGCATAATATCGATATACCGTATCGATATATTCTTTTATGCAAATTAGATTACATTATATTCAATGTCATGACTTTTTTTTACCGTAATACAGTAATAGATATCATTAGAGGATTTCGATGTTTTAATTCATCAAAGATTCAGGATAAGTTCATTAAGAGAAAAGAAAAAAACTCAATTTTTATTTTAAAAAAGTCTTTTTTTTTATTTAAAAAACGAAAAATGGCATGTATATTATTTCTCGAAATTCTAAATTTCATATATTTAAATTAGTCCCTTAATTTTTT